ATGTAGAAGGATATGTATGATGTACAACACCTAACTAATCCTCTAAAATCGCCAAAGTGCTCCGAATGATTCAGCTGGTTGCTAACAAAGCTCTCACTCTCAGCGTTAGGCGCAAAGCAGAATTAAGCGTCCCGCTCCACTCCATTTCTACTCGAATGTACACACAGTAAATATTTGTGCACACCACCTCCTCCGGGACTGGCCATATAGGTGTTGAATAGTAACGCTTGAGAACATCATTGAGAAATCTGCTTATATCACGAGCAGAGACCGAAGCGCTACTCTGAACACGTAGCCGTTTGGTTTCATCAAAACAAACTTCTGAGAACAAATATAATCATCCGTACTTCAGGCAGTCTATTCAAGGCGACTATCAGATGCTTTCGAAATATCTCCATCAGTCAAATAACGTGTACTCCCAATAGCATTAGGATCGTCATAATGCGATATCTTTTTTCCAGCCGCGACGTTTTCGGCCAATATGTATTGAGCCTGTTCATAGCAACAATTACATTGCACAGGGAGTGTATGTAGTAAATTGACCCACAATTATCCATCCTCAAATCAACCACATTTATTTTCTGTTGCCTTTCCTTATTTTTTCAGATGTCATCCGAAAGTCTACGGTTTTCCGCACATTCTGCTATTTATCATTACCTCATGCAAAAAATGAACAACGTTATAGTGGAGAAATGAGCGAGAAACCGTGCTTTTGATTGGACATAAATTTCATCAAAAGCGATCAAAAAACAGAATTACCATGAACAGGGGGATAATTTGGCATCAAACAAGTATACAGGGTGTATCAAAAATATATGCGCCTAAGCACAGCAATATATTTTGATCTTCTATATGGAAGATGCTCAATGAATTTATATATAAATTTACTTGAATCATGTACAACAATGTGGAACAAACAGATCCCCAAATGCTACGAATGCATGCCCAAAATCCCAAAGGAGTTTCGCGCACGTTCTCATTACCTCATGCAAAAAATGAACAACGTTATAGTGGAGAAATGAGCGAGAAACCGTGCTTTTGATTGACATAAATTTCATCAAAAGCGATCAAAAAACAGAATTACCATGAACAGGGGGATAATTTGGCATCAAACAAGTATACAGGGTGTATCAAAAATATATGCGCCTAAGCACAGCAATATATTTTGATCTTCCTATATGGAAGATGCTCAATGAATTTATATATAAATTTACTTGAATCATGTACAACAATGTGGAACAAACAGATCCCCAAATGCTACGAATGCATGCCCAAAATCCCAAAGGAGTTTCGCGCACGTTCACGCATGTATACTCCGTATCTCGAAGTCAGATTAGGCGTGTCTATGGGTTTACGTGCCGGCCGCTGCATTTGAAGAAGTTGCTGCTTCAATTCTTCCCAGCATGCATTGCTGACATCCAACGGTGTATTTTAGAAACAGCCCATCCACTATCCGCTTCTATCAAGTGAGGAAATGACCACGTCAAATCCATAACTACGCCTAATCTGACTTCGAGATATCGAATGTATTCCTCGTGTATTTCTTTCCAGGCTCCCTTCAGCGTTGCTTCCAGTGACTCCTTCATGCACCATTCCTGCATGAACTTGACATGTGTGGACTTAGTGCGCTTCTGCGCTGTATGCACTTGTTATTTTCACGGTGGGACCTGTAGAGCAGAACTAATCATTAGCAAACTATGCGAGACTAAACGAGCGCTTTTGCTGAACAAATTTTTGAATTTCAGCGCCCATAATTTTGGGACACCCTGTATGTCATTATCTGTAATTCAGCACTTACCCCGTGCACAGGTGTATATGACAACTTATCGCATCTTTTGGGCAATTTCTAAGTATTCTACGGGGGGTATATTAGCCTAGCTGCCCGCTCGAGGATAAAGCCACCAAAACGATGGCTTGGTTTCGTGCCCACATCCGCCTCAGCTTCGTTTCCATCACCCTTTCCCAGCAAATTTCACAATTTCTCATTTTCGAAGCAGTATGCTAGAATAGGTACGGTAATCTACATCAGTTTCAAAGCATTCCCAACATAGAAGAAGACAGGACTCAGATACAAAGAGTGGATAAATGCGAAATAACCAGTTATTGTGGACATCACCCCGGTGATAACGCAAGACAATGTCACGTGGGATTGAATGCCACGTCAATTGATTGATCCATAAATGACCTCCTCATGCACGAGTCATGACAGGGTCAACCGTCACGTTCGAACATTTTCAGGGTTTTTGCGACCCCCTTTTCTCAAGGGGGTCACCCCCTTATCTCAAGGGGGTCCAGTTGCGACCCCCTCTTAGGTAATGGAAGTGCCGAATGTGCTGACTAAATGTTAAGTGAAATATTTATTTCACTCATTTTACTTCAAAGACAGTGAACTAAAACCTTTTAAAGACAATGAACTTCCATGACATAGAACAAAACATTTGAATATTGAATTCTTCACTGGCATTTGAATTGAATTCTTTTCAAAAAATCATTGAATTTTTTTCAAAAATTCAATGATTTTTTGAAAAAAATTCAATTCAAATGTTCAGTAAAGAATTCAATATTCAAATGTTGTGTTCTATGTTCGTAAGTTCATTGTTTTTTGAAAAACTTCAATGAAATTTGAATTGAATTGTTTTCAAAAAATCATTGAATTTCTGAAAAAAATTCAATATTTTTTTCATGTTGCCCAAAACTTCAAACTTCATGCTTCCGAAAGAATCACAAGAGCAGTTCAAGGGAGTAAATCAAAGAGAGTTACGTTCTCCATCAATGCATCTCCTAAGATGAGCCCCAAAGGAGCAAGAATCACAGGGCACTGGCTAATGAAAGCTATTTTTTATGGTTAGCCTCGCGAGATCAAAATTTTTGTTCGCTCACAATCACGCCAAAATGAGGATGAAAGCGAAATGTGTAAGACCAAATGGAGGGATATCCAACAAGTAACATGAAGACTGACGAACTTCTGCTCAAACAGCTGAAAAAAGAGGAAGGATTAAAGAAGAGTAGGACTGACATGATTGCGTCAGAAACCGCCGCAGAAAGCGTTTGCGTTGCGGCGTCAACCTTGGAGCGCGGCAGGTATCACCCGGACGCTGGAAAACTGGGACGCGGCGAAGAAAAAGTTTTAGGAGAGTGTAACTTTCTTGAGACGTATTTGTTTCACTTATTGAGGTAGGTTTAAACTGTGCCTGAGGTGGCTTTACAGAAAATTGCAAGGATGACCTAACTCTCCCAAAAGTATTTCTGTCAGAAGCGGAAAACCCAAAATTCTGAGAAGGCGCACCTTCAACTTTGAAGGCCTCATAAAATCTTTCGTATGCGACATTTTGGAAATCTGTAAAAAGTTTTAGAAACTTCAAATATTTCTCTAACAAAACAGTATAAAAAGTTTAAGTGATTGTCCCCTTTTTCAAAAAATTTGCCCCGTTCGAACAGTTCCCGTGCAAAACCGAGTTTTTAAGCTTTCAGCGACTATAACTCACTTCATTTTGATTGCTGTGTTTCCCTCTTTCCATGGGGTGAAAGAGCAGGTTTTGCTCTTTCTAACAAGCCCTAAACCATTTTTCAAAGTTCATTTTTCGAGAAAATCCCACGTTCGAACATTTGGATCCCATAGGTTTTTGAGCAGCACATGCGAGGTTTCGAGCTTTCAGCAATAATAACTTCCTTCAAAGAGCATGTTGGAAAGAGGCGAAGACATTTTTGAAGACCGCGAGGTTTCTTCTTTCTTATGTGTTTCACGATTTTGTGGAAGAACCGTCCGTAGAAAAGTAGGTTCCCGAAGAAGTTCAATTTCAGCCACAAGAAGTCAAACTTTTCATGGAGATGCATTCAACTGTTCTCTATTCCTCAAGGAAAACACCGTAATTTGCCCAAAACTGTCTCTCTGTGCATAATTAATCGAATCTAATGCGGTCTGCACAAACAATTCTTGCCCTCGGATACGCCACGCACGCGCCTGTGGCTGGCAGTCCTCGAAATTGCGACCCCCTTCCGACCAAAATGCGACCCCTTCGTTCGAACAGTTCGAACGGACGGTTGACCCTGTCAGACCGGAGTAGCACTATCAACATATCCCATTACATACAACCAGATATAATCTAACATATATAAAATACATAATAAACAAACCCAGAATTTGAAACTGTATATAACGAATGAAAAAATTATTGCAATTGAACATTGTAATGTAAATTGTAAAAACGTATATTCAGAACCAAATTTGCTCGTACCTTGGAACCTCCATTTGCTTCGTTGAAGGATCACGCCGACGTCGAGGAATGTGATCGCGAACTAAA